CACACAGACACACACACACACACCCACACACACAGACACACACACACCCACACACACAGACACACACACCCACACACACAGACACACACACACACACACAGACACACACACACCCACACACACACACCCACACACACAGACACACACACACACACAGACACACACACCCACACACACACGCACACACCCACACACACAAGTAGAGACAATACTAATGAATGTTAAATGAGGAAGTAAAGGAAATACACAATGATTAACTTCAGGAAATATATGAATGAAACCACACACACACACACACACACACACACACACTCTCTTACATGACCCCACTTAACCTACATACACATGACTACCACACACTGTCTGCAGTGTTAATCACTGCGCCAGGTTCCTTCAGCGACCTGCTGGGGCGACCATTCCTGTGATGGTAATGCTAGCCCACCACCAGCACTTTATCATCAGCTGGACGAGGAACATCTCTGCTTACTTATACCGCTATAAACCTCTGCCCATAATCAAGATGCTTATCATGTTAGCATTAGCGGCTTCTGGCATCCTAGCGGTCGTTGAGTGCATGAGGAGGCCTATAATCACGGTTCAAACAGCTGACAATAGCACCACACAACACCGTTGATTTTGTTAATAAATTAGCAGCTTCTGCCCAACAAATATCGTTCCTCACAATCTTGCCATCACTGATAATGCTAATCTCGCTAATGTTAGCATCTCCACAATCCCGGAAATTAATTTTGGATGTGTCATAACCTAACAACTCATCGCTACTGTCAGCGCTAATACCTGCTAATGTTAGCGCTTGACAACCTAACGCCTCGGGAATGCTAATCAAGGCACAATTTAGCAGGACCTGACGGCCAACCACCCCTCGGGAACGACTTAAATCAGGGAACTCGAAATTAGAGAGAGGTGAAGATTTATACAGAGGTAATGATAGAGTTTATTGACAAGAGTTGATGGAGTAAAACTTGGTAATAATAGTTTGTGTGGGCGAGCACTGGTGGTGTGGTGGTGGTGGTGGTGAAATGGTGGTGGTGGTGAAAATGACGGTATGTGTAAGAAATGATGGTGGTGGCGGTGGTGGTGAAAATGATGGTGGTGGCGTGGTGGTGAAATGATGGTGGTGTGGAGGCCCGGCCACTGATGACCTAACACTTCTTTATCTCACTTTCATTTTCTTTCTCTCACCTTCTCAACATCCACAACACATCCACTAAGTTACCTACGATGGTTATCTTCATTTCATAATCAATTACTTAGACGCTGTAAGAATCAATTACTGTAACTTTAGACGCTGTAAGAATCAATTACCGTAACTTTAGACCTGAATTGTAAAAGAATCAATTACCGTAACTTTAGACGCTGTAAGAATCAATCATAACTTTAGACGCTGTAAGAATCAACACCGTAACTTTAGGCGCTGTAAGAATCAACAACTCAGATTACCGTAACTTTAAAATGTAAGAATCAATTATTAAATTTAGACGCTGTAAGCAATCAACGTAACTTTAGACCAATGTAACTGTAAGAATCAATTACCGTAATCTTTAGGCGCTGTAAGAATCAATTACCGTAACTTTAAAGAATACCAGACGCTGTAAGAATCAGACGTTGTAAGAGAATCATCATAGACGTTGTAAGAATCATCATCGTAACTTTAGACGCTGTAAAGAATCAATTACCGTAACCAGACAAGAATCAATTACCGTAACTTTAGACGCTGTAAGAATCACCAGACGTTGTAAGAATCACCACTGCAACTCTTAGATGCAAAATCACTGCAATCTTTAGACGCTAAAATAAATTAATGTAACTGCACTGTAAGAATCAATCGAAACTTGTAAACAAAGAATCAATCACCGTAACTTCAGACACTGTAAGAATCACTACTTCACTTAGACGTTGTAAGAATCAATCACCGTAACTTCAGACGTTCTAAGAATCAATTACTGTAACTTCAGACGTTCTAAGAATCAATTACTGTAATCACAGGTCGTAAGCATCAATTTACTACTTTAGAGACTAAGAGAATCACCCACAAGAGAGAACAGGTTCTTACGATACATCTTCTCCCATTCTCTTAAATCTACAATCTCTTACGACTTAACACGACCTGTAAGCTCGTAAAATTCTACCTCCCTTAAGGAAGTGACTTTTATCAGTATTAAGAAAAATAGCTGCTAGTTCTATTAATGAGAGGTGACCCGAAGATTATTCTTAAAGTATTTACCTGAAAAATTATTCCCCGGCTTATTTTACCCGGGTGTCTAATCCATCAGGTAAAACAAAACTGAAAATGTCTAATCATCAGGCAAAATAAACCAAAAAATGTCTAATCATCAGGAAAAATAAACTAAAAATGTTCAATCATCAGGTAAAATAAACTGAAAATGCTCCAATCATCAGGTAAAAATAAAATAAAAATGTCTAATCATCAGGAAAATAAACTGAAAATGTCCAATCATCAGGCAAAAATAAACTGAAAATGTCTAATCATCAGGCAAAATAAACCAAAAATGTCTAATCATCAGGTAAAATAAACTGAAAATGTCCAATCATCAGTAAATAAACTGAAAATGTCTAATCATCAGGAAAATAAAACTAAAAATGTCCAATCATCAGGTCAAAAATAAACTGAAAATGTCCAATCTTTCAGGTAAAAAAAACCAAAGCTAATCATCAGGCAAAATAAACTAAAAATGTCTAATCATCAGGTAAAACAAAACCAAAAAATGTCTAATCATCAGGTAAAATAAACTGAAAATGTCTAATCAACAGAAAAATAAACTGAAAAACTCTAATCATCAGGAAAAAAAACAAAAATTTCTAATCTTCAGGTAAAAAAAACTGAAAAATGTTCAATCATCAGGCAAAAACAAAACTGAAAATGCTCAATCAACAAAAAAAACCAAAAATGCCCAATCATCAGGTAAAAATAAACTGAAAATGTCCAAATCATCAGGCAAAATAAACTGAAAAATGTCCAATCATCAGGCAAAATAAACTCAAAAAATGCTCAATCAGGAAAACAAACTGAAAATGTCCAATCATCAGGCAAAAATAAACTGAAAATGTCTAATCTTCAGGCAAAATAAACTGAAAATATTCAATCATCAGGCAAAATAAACCAAAAATGTCCAATCATCATAAAAATAAACTGAAAAATGTCTAATCATCAGGTAAAAATAAAACTAAAAATGTCTAATCATCAGGTAAAAATAACTGAAAATGTCTAATCATCAGGTAAAGTAAACTGAAAAATGTCTAATCATCAGGTATTCCGTTTTTTGCCCAGGAAGAGAAGAGAGAGAGAGAGAGAGAGAGAGAGAGAAGAGGACAGAGAGAGAGAGAGAGAGAGAGAGAGAGAGAAGAGAGAGAGAGAGAGAGAGAGAGAGAGAGAGAGAGAGAGAGAGAGCATCAGACTTTCTTAAGCCAAGTATCTTCTGACATTTAGGGGTAGATTAAGATATCACTAACTCCCCACATTATTGTGATAAGGAAGCACTTTCTCTCACTTCTCTCACTTTCTCTACTTTCTCACTTTCTCCCAACGAGTCTTTTCAGAAAGAAAAAAAAATATATATTATGGGTGAGGGACCCAATGAAATGTACAGGTGTTTTATCTAACTTAACTGACCTACTCACCTTACCTAACTCAACTCAACCTCATTCAACTCAACCCATAACCAACCCAACCCAACCCAACCTAATCTAACCACCTACCACATAACGCAACTCAATTTAAAGTACTATAACTAGTAGTAGGATAGGTAGTAGTGGGTAAGTAGGGGTAGTAGTGGTAGTAAAGGAGGTAGTAGTGGTAGTAGGGGGTAGTAGTAGGGGTAGTAGTGGTAGTAGAGGTAGTAGTGAGTAGTAGAGGGGGTAGTAGTGGTAGTAGGGTAGTAGGGGGCAGTAGCAGTAGGGGGCAGTAGGTAGTAGGAGGTAGTAGTGCAGTAGGGTAGCAGTGGTAGTAGGTAAAGTTAGCAAAGTACAGGAAGAAAGAGTAAAAGAAAGAAAAGTAAGAAAGAGAGGAAGAAAGAAAACGAAGAGAGGACAGCAAGAAAGAGAAGAAAGAGTAAAAAGAAAGAGCAAGATATAGAAGAAGAAGAGGGAAGAAAGAGTCAAGAAGAGATAAAAGAAAGAAAGTATAAAAGAAATAACAGTAAGAGAAGAAAGATGCTAGAAAGATAAGAAGAGTAAAAGAAAAGCAAGAAAGAGAAGAAGCAGCAAGGAGAAAGAAAGAAAGTAAGAAAGAGGAAAGGAAAGAAAGGAAAGAGTAAAGAAAGAAGTAAGAAAGAGTAAAGAAAGAAAGGAAGAGCAAAAGAAAAAGGCAGAGGAAAAGAAGAGTAAGAAAGAGGAAGAAAGAAGAAGAGAAAGGAAGAAAGAGCAGAGAGAAAAGAAGAGGATAAGAAAGAGTAGAAGGAAAGAGGAAGAAAGAAAAGAGCAGCAAGGCAGAAAGAGTATGAAAAAGAAGGAAAGAGGGGGAAAGAAAGAATGAAGAGGAAGAAGTTAAGAAGAAAGAAAGAGGTAAAGAAAAGTAAAGGAAAGAGGGAAGAAAGAAAGAAAGAAGAAGAAGAAAGAGAAGAAGAGTAAAGAAAGAGCTAAGAAAGAGGAAGAAGAAAGAAAAAAGAAAGAGAAGAAAGAGTACAGTAGTAAAGAAAGAGTAGCAGAGAAGAAAGGAAAGGAAAGAAAGAGAAAAAGAAAGAAAGCGAGTAAAGAAAGAAAGTAAGAAAGAGGAAGAAAGAAGAGCAAGAGGGGAAGAAAGAGTACAGAGGCAGTAGAAAAGAGAAAGGAAGAAAGTATATAGGAAGAAGAAAGGAGAAAGAGGAGAAAGAAAGTAAGCAGGTAAGAAAGAAAGGCAGAAAAGCAAAGAGTAAGAAAGAGGAGCAGAGCAAGAAAGAGGGCAAGAAAGTACAAGAAGGAAGCAGTAAGAGATGTTGTAAGAGCAAGAGGAAAAATAAAGAGCTAAGGAAAGAAAAAGAAGCATGAAAGAAAAGAGGCTGAAAGCAAGAAAGAGGAAGGAAAGAGTAAGCAGAAAGGAAGAAAGAAAGAGGTTAGAGTTAAGGAAAGAGGAAAGAAAGAAAGCATAAGAGTAAAAGAGAAATAAGAAAGAGGAAAAAGAAAGAGAAGAAAGAGAAAAAAGAGTTAAGAAAGAGAAAAGAAAGAAAGATGAAAGGAAAGAAAGCAGAAGAGGAAGAAAGTAAGGAGAGAAAAGAAAGATAAGGAAGAGAAAAGAAAGAAAGAAAGAAAGAGAGCAGAGAGAAAGAGAAGAAAGAAAGAAGAAAGTAAGAAAGAAAGAGACAAGAAGAGAGAGAAAGAGGAAGAAAGAGGGCAACAGAGGCAAAGAGGAAGAAAGAAAGAAAGAGGAAGAAAGAGTAAGAAAGAAAGAAGAAAGTAAGAAAGAGTAAAAAGAAAGAAGAAGAGGAAAGGAAAGAGTACAAGAAGGAAGAAAGAAAGTAAGAAAGAGTAAAAGAAGAAAGTACAGAGAGCATAAGCAAGAAGAAAGAGTACAGAAAGGAAGATGGATAAGAGATTAAGAAAAGAAGAAGAGGAAGAAAGAAAAGAAAGAGGAAAGAAAGAAAGTGCATAGAGGGAAGATAATGAGGAAGAAAGAGCAGCAGGGGAAGAAAGAAAGAAAGAGAAAGAAAGAAGAAGAGAGGTAAATAGCAGAGTAAGAAAGAGGAAGGAGAGTACAGAGGTAAGTAGCATAAGGAAGAGGGGGTATAAGAAGGAAGAAGAGGAAGAAAGAGTATGATAGAAACAGTATAGAAGGAAGAAGAAAGAGGAAAGAAGAAGAAAGAAAAAAGAAAGTAAGCAGAGGAAGAGCAGTAAGAAAGAGGTTGTTATACAAGAAAGAAAGAAGCAGGAGAAGAAAGTGCACAAGGGAAGAAAGAAAAGAAGAGGAAGCAAGAAAGCAGAAAAAGAAAGAGTAAGAGTAAAAAGGTAATAAGAAAGAGATGCTGAAAGAAGGAAAAAGAAGTAAGAAAAGAAAGATATAAGAGAAGAAGTACAAAGATAAAAGAAAGAAAGTAAGAAAGAAAGAAGAAAGTAAGAAAGAAAGACTAAGAAGAAGAAGAAAGAGTTAAGGAAGAGGAAGAAAGAAAAGAAAAGAAAGAGCTAAGAGTAAAAGAAGAAAGAAGAAAGACAAGAAAGAAAAGAGGAAGAAGAAGTATAAGAGAAGAAGAGAGCATGAGACAAAAGAAAGAAAGTAAAAGTAAGAAGAAGAAAGAGGAAGAAAGAAATAAGAAGAAAGAGTTTTAAGAAACAGGGAAGAAAGAAAGAGAAGTAAGAGCAAGAAAGAAGTATAAGATAAAGAAGAAAGAAAGAGATGTAGCAGCTAAAGTAGGGAGAGTGGGGGAAAAAGAAAGAAAGACAAGAAAGTTAGAGCAAGAAAGAAAAGAAGAAAATATAAAGAAGAAAGCATAAGAGGAAGAAGAAAGTAAGAAAGAGAAGCTGAAAGTAAGAAAGAGGAAGGAAGATAAAGAGGAAGAAGAATGAGAAGAAAGAGAAAGAAGAAAAAGGAAAAGAAAGAGGAAGAAAGAAAGACAAGAGGAAAAAAGAATGAGAAAGAGTATAAAAGGGCTATGAAAGAAGAGGGAAGAAAGAAGAAGAAAGAGAAGAAAGAGAAAAGAAAAGAAGAATAGAGGAAAAAAGAAAGAAGAAGAGGAAGAAAGAAGTTAAGAAAGAGAAAGAAAGGAAGAGAGGAAGAAAGAGTAAGCAGAGGAAGAAAAAAGCTAAGAAAGAGATGCGAAGAAGCTACAGTGAGAAAGGAAAGAGCATAAGAAAAGGAAGAAAGAAAAGAAAGAAAGAAAGAGAAGAAAGAAATAAGAAAGAAAAAGGAGTACAGAAAGAAAGAGTTAAGGAAAGAGAGGGGGAAGAAGGCAGAGAGAAAGTAGGTATTAAGTATGAGGGGAAGAAAGAAAGAAAGAGGAAGCAAGAAGAAGAGTAGGGAAGAAGAAGTAAGAAGAGATGCAAAAAGAGGGAAGAAGAAGTAAGAATGAGATAAAGTAATAGAAATAGAATATAGTAGATATATAGTAAAAAGAGAAGCGGAAAGAAAAAGAGTAGGGGCAATAGAGGCAGAAAGAAAAGAAGAGAGAAGAAAGAAAGGAGTGGTAGGAGGTAGTAGTGGTAGGGGGCAGTAGTGGTAGTGGTAGTAGTGGCAGTAGTGGCTGTAGTGGTAGTGGTTGTATGAACAGTGACCACCGTGACAATAAGCAGTAATAACGACTAATTCACCCGGACACCTGAACACATGATCACTCCATAACTCCCTGACATGCATGATTGCGTGTGTGAGATCACTAATTTCTGACTTGCTGCACGATTACAGGTGTGATGCTGCCGATTACAGGTGTGTGGAGGAACCTGCATGGCGATTACAGGTGTGAGGAACCCATGGCTGATTACAGGTGTGTGTGGGAGGAGGAGGAACCTGCATGGCTGGTCACAGTGGAGGAGCCTGCAGCAACCGACCACCTGCTTTTTCTCATGACAGGCTCTTCCCTTGCACATGGCACCAATCAATAGGATCACCTGAATCACAGCACCCCAGGTTATTTTGCTTGATCAATACACAACCTAACCCAACACTAAACCCAACCAACCTAACCTACACTAAACCCAACTCAACCCAACTAACCCAGTGGTTGTAAGGCAGCAAAGTAACACAGGATCGAGAGATAATCCTTAAAGTTCAATACGAAGGACTGAGTCATTCCAATCCCTTTGAGAAAGTCCTCGTGACGCTGTACTGTACAGTATACCTCAGGAGGCAGTAAGGTGTTCGTCTCACCCGGTGTCTCCACTTACTCCCACACAACCATTAGTCCAGATAGATCACACTTAACCTCACCTAACCCAACCTAACCTAACCAAATCTAACCAAACCAAATATAACCTAAAACTAACATAACCTAACCTAAACCAAATCTAACCGAACAAAATATAAACTAACCTAACCTAACCTAACCAAATCTAACCGAACTAAATATAACCCAAAACTAATACAAATCTAACCTACAAACCATTAGTCCAGATGAACACGACTACTAACCAAATCATCCTAATCAACCCTAACTCTAACTTAACCAACCTAACCTAACCCAACATCCCAGGTAACGTTAAGGTGTCAGCTGTAAGTAAAATAAAGCCGGGGAGGGGGTGCTAAAATTCAGGTGCTCCCCTAATATAAGACAATAATCAAAACAATATAGTATTATAGTTCAATAATTCATATACCGTAATGATATCACCTTAGAGAGTTAATTAAGTAAAAGAGGACTGATAAAATTCGGTGTTAAAAGTAAGAATTGATCGTAGTAATATGGAAAGGGTGATAATTATGCTAACAGCTGCGTACGGCGTATGTTAAAATACCAGGTACAAGTATACAGTCTGCCAGGTGACGATGTTAAATTAACGTGTCGGGAAAGCTGAGACAGGTAAGTGCTAATTAATGTAGATGTTTTAACTTAATCATGTTTTGGTATATGATGTTAATTTAACCTGCTAAAACATCTAAATATTTGGCAGAAAGTTTTATGTTAATTTCGTTACAAGAACTACAAAGAGAGTGTTGTTGTTGTTGTTGTTGTTGTTGCTGCTGGGTGTGTGTGTGTGTGTGCTGGTGTTGGTGTTGGTGTTGGTGTTGGTGTTGTTGTTGTTGTTGTTGTTGTTGTTGTTAGTGGTGGTGGTGGTGGTGGTGGTGGTGGTGGTGTGTGTCTGTTGCTGTTGCATGTTTACTCTCATTTTCTCCTCCTCCTCCACCTTTTTCTTCTTCTTTTTATCTTATCTTATTACGACCTATTAACACCACAATAACACACCATTAATAAACCACACCACTATCATCTATTAACACCACAATAACACACCATTATTATCCACAACAACACACCATATCATCTATTAACAACAATAACACACCATTATCATCTACATCAATAACAACACAATCCATTATCGTCTATTAACACCACAATAACACACCATTATCATCTATTAAAAATACACATACACCATTTCACAATAAAACACCATATCATCTATACACAATAACACACCATTAATATCTTAATAACATCATTATAATACAATAAATCACAATAACACACCATTATTCATCACAAACACCACAACACACCATTATCATCTATTATACTCATCATAACCACAATAACATAATTACACACAAAACACAACACCACAACAACCATTATCATCTATTAACACCACAATAACACACCATTATCATCTATTAACACCACAATAACACACCATTATCATCTATTAAACCAAAACACACCACCAAACACCACAATAACACACAATATACATCACAACACCACAATAACAAACCATTATCATCTACTATCATCTATTAACACCACAACAACACACCATTATCATCTCAACACACCATTATCTATAACACCATAAAACACCATTATCATCTATTAACACCACAATAACACACCATTATCATCTATTAACACCAATAACAATAACCATTATCATCTATGAACACCACAATAACACCAACCAAACACCACAATAACACCATTATCATCTATTAACACCAATAACACACCATTATCATCTACGAACACCACAATAACACACCATTATCATCTATTAACACCACAATAACACACCATTATCATCTACACACCACAATAACACACCATTATCATCTATTAACACCACACAACACACCATTATCATCTATAAAACACCCAATAACACACCATTATCATCATTAACAATCACAATAACACCATCTATAACCACAAAATTATCATCTATGAACACCACCAACACACCATTATCATCTATTAACACCACAATAACACACCATTATCATCTATGAACACCACAATAACACACCATTATCATCTATTAAACACCACAATAACACCACCATTATCATCTATTAACACCACAATAACACACCATTATCATCTATTAACACCCACACCATTATCATCTATGAACACCATAACACACCATTAATTCATTATCACCACAATATCACACACACACACCATTATCATCTATTAACACCACAATAACACACCATTATCATCTATGAACACCACAATAACACACCATTATCATCTATTAACACCACAATAACACACCATTATCATCTATTAACACCACAACACACCATTATCATCTATGAACACCACACACACCATTATCATCTATTAACACCACAATAACACACCATTATCATCTATAACACCACATCATCTATTAACACCACAATAACACACCATTATCATCTATGAACACCACAACACACCATTATCATCTATTAACACCACAATAACACACCATTATCATCTATTAACACCACAATAACACAACCATTATCATCTATTAACACCACAATAACACACCATTATCATCTATGAACACCACAATAACACAATTAATATCACCACAATAAAACCACAATAACACACCATTATCATCTATTAACACCACAATAACACACCATTATCATCTATGAACACCACAATAACACACCATTATCATCTATTAACACCACAATAACACACCATTATCATCTATTAACACCACAATAACACACCATTATCATCTATAACACCACAATAACACACCATTATCATCTATATATTAACACCACAATAACACACCATTATCATCTATAAACACCACAATAACACACCATTACTATCAACACCACAATAACACACCATTATCATCTATTAACACCACAACACACCATTATCATCTATTAACACCACAATAACACAATATCTAAACACCACAATAACACACCATTATCATCTATGAACACCACAATAACACACCATTATCATCTATGAACACCCATAATAAACACCATTATCATCTATTAACACCACAATAACACACATCTATTAAACACCACAATAACACACCATTAATCATCCATAACACCACAATAACACACCATTATCATCTAATAATAAACCACAATAACACACCATTATCATCTATGAACACCACAATAACACACCATTATCATCTATTAACACCACAATAACACACCATTATCATCTATTAACACCACAATAACACACCATTATCATCTATTAACACCACAATAACACACCATTATCATCTAAAACCACAATAACACACCATTATCATCATATTAACACCACACAACACACCATTATCATCTATTAACACCACAATAACACACCATTACCATCTATGAACACCACAATAACACACCATTATCATCTATTAACACCACAATAACACACCATTATCAATTTATGAACACCACAATAACACACCATCTATTAACACCACAATAACACACCATTATCATCTATTAACACCACAATAACACACCATTATCATCTATTAACACCACAATAACAACCATTATCATCTATTAACACCACAATAACACACCATTATCATCTATTAACACCACAATAACACACCATTATCATCTATTAACACCACAATAACACACCATTATCATCTATAACACCACAACAACACACCATTATCATCTATTAACACCACAATAACACACCATTATCATCTATTAACACCACAATAACACACCATTATCATCTATTAACACCACAATAACACACCATTATCATCTATTAACACCACAATAACACACCATTATCATCTATTAACACCACAATAACACACCATTATCGTCTATTAACACCACAATAACACACCATTATCATCTACAACACCACAATAACACACCATTATCATCTATTAACACCACAATAACACACCATTATCATCTATTAACACCACAATAACACACCATTATCATCTATAAATCACCACAATAACACACCATTATCATCTATTAACACCACAACACCATTATCATCTATGAACACCACAATAACACACATATCATCTATTAACACCACAATAACACACCATTATCATCTAAACACCACAATAACACACCATTATCATCTATTAACACCACAATAACACACCATTATCATCTATGAACACCACAATAACACACCATTATCATCTATTAACACCACAATAACACACCATTATCATCTACAACACCACAAACACACCATTATCATCTATTAACACCACACACACCATTATCATCTATTAACACCACAACACCACCATTATCATCTATTAACACCACAATAACACACCACATTATCATCTATTAACACCAAATAACACACCATTATCATCTATTAACACCACAATAACACACACCATTATCATCTATTAACACCACAATAACACACCATTATCATCTATTAACACCACAATAACACACCATTATCATCTATTAACACCACAATAACACACCATTATCATCTATTAACACCACAATAACACACCATTATCATCTATTAACACCACAATAACACCCATTATCATCTATTAACACCACAATAACACACCATTATCGTCTATTAACACCACAATAACACACCATTATCATCTATAAACACCACAATAACACACCATTATCATCTATTAACACCACAATAACACACCATTATCATCTGAACACCTATATTTCACCATTAAAGTATTAGCATGGCGACCAGTGCAGCGTATGTAGTACCAGAGGTTGGTTGACCTACTGAGCTGCCTGCCTACCTGACTGTCTCCTCCCTGCTAGCCTGGTTCTCTCCCTGGATCTCCTCCCCTGGCAGCCTGGTTCTCTCTCCCTGGACTGTCTCCCTCCCTGCTAGCCTGGTTCCTCTCCCCTGGACTGTCTCCCTCCTGCTAGCCTGGTTCTCTCCCTGGACTGCTCCCTCCCTCCCAGCCTGGTTCTCTCCTGGACTGTCTCCTCCCTGCCACCTTGTTCTCTCCTGGACTGTCTCCTCCTGCCAGCCTGGTTCTCTCCTGGACTGTCTCCTCCCTGCTAGCCTGGTTCTCTCCTGGACTGTCTCCTCTCCCTGCCAGCCTGGTTTCTCTCCCTGGACTGTCTCCCTCCCTGCTAGCCTGGTTCTCTCCTGGACCGTCTCCTCCCTGCCTGCCTGACTCCTTCTTCCTGCCTGCCCCCTCCTGACTGCCTCCTCCCTGCCTGCCCCCTCCTGACTGCCTCCTTCCTGACTGCCTCCTTCCCAGCCTGCCCCATCCCTCCCCGACTGCCTCCTCCTGCCTGCCTCCTGCCTGCCTCCTCCCTGCCTGCCCCTCCTGCCTGCTGCTCGACCTCATGGCCCACAGGTGAGAAACACGCAGGAACCATCAGGTATTCGGATTCAGTAGCTGAGGCAAATGTTTCTAATATTGCTGACGCTGATTGGCCGATGGGTGACTTGAGGACAAAGACGATTGGTTTAGGGTTCGAGAAGGAAAGATTAGACAAATATTGACGGATAAATAAAGAAAAGAAGTAAAATAAGAGAGAAAAACAAAGAGAACTTTCTATAAGCCTCCAGAACCAAACACTAAGACAATCCGGTTCACTAGACAAGAGATTGAGCTAGGGAGGGTTGTTTGCGGTTATAAGGAGAGAACCACTGAGAGACCGCAGGAGACCGCAGGAGACCGCAGGAGACCGCAGAGAAATACAAAAACAGGTTAATCTTCCAGTGTACTGTATATTAATCATCATATTTTCTGGTTCTTCTCCTTCTCTTTTATTTTGTCTGAGAACACCATGGGAAGTAGAAAGGGAAGAGGAGGAAGAAGAGAGAACAAGAGGCAAGAATAAGAAGAGGGAGGAAGAGAGAATAAGAGGCGAAAGAATAAGAGGAGGAAGAGAGAATAAAGAGAAGAAAGAGAGAAGAGGAGAAGAAAGAGAGAATGCGAGGAAAGAAATGAGAATAAGAGAAGAGAGAAAGAGAATAAGATAAGAAAGAAAGAGAATAAGAGAAGAGAGAGAATAAGATGGATACAGAAAATGACAATAATGACTTACAGCAATAGACTAAAAATAAAAATAATAAAAATAACAATAGCGGTACAAACACAGCACCACAACAGCACCACAACAGCACACCACAACAGCACCACAACAGCACCACAACAGCACGACAGCAGCACCACAACAGCACGACAACAGCACCACAACAGCACCACAACAGCGACAACAGCACCACAACAGCACCACAACAGCACGACAGCAGCACCACAACAACACGACAACAGCACCACAACAGCACCACAACAGCACGACAACAGCACGACAACAGCACGACAACAGCGACAACAGTACGACAACAGCACGACAACAGTACGACAACAGCACCACAACAGCACCACAACAGCACGACAACAGCGACAACAGCACCACAACAGCACGACAACAGCACGACAACAGCACGACAACAGCACGACAACAACAGCACGACAACAGCACGACAACAGCACCACAACAGCACCACAACAGCACCACAACAGCGACAACAGCACGACAACAGCACGACAACAGCACCACAACAGCACCACAACAGCACTACTAGAACTTCACTGGTTTTTGACAGCAGCGGGCCCCTACCTGACCTGTGTGTGTGTGTGTGTGTGTGTGATGGTTAGTGTCTGTTTAAATGATCGTAATTTCCACCATAAGGAAATTAACACACCTGGCTGGCGTCATTAAGCTTCTGTCTTCATGTAAATTAGCTGTGTATCTGGCCAATATCTCTCCGCCAGGTAGTTCTGTCATGTTACCTGTCCAATATCTGTCCATCAAAAACGATATACTTAATACTGTAATTGGTCTGAGGAATATTACGTTACAGAGATAGATAATGAGACACTAAGTACAGATGAGAGATAATGAGACACTGCGTGCAGAGAGAGAGAGAGAGAGACAGGAACCACCGTCTGATTATCTACCTGAGATTTGTTAATGAGTTCCTCTCGTGTTGAGTTCAGCCTGTGCTCTCTCTCTCTCTCTCCTTCCACCATTACTTTTGCCCAATAATTTTCTTACTTTCTTCCTTCCATCCCTTCTTCTCCCTCCTCCTTCCCCTCTTTCCTTCACCGTCCCCTCCTCCTCACCCTCCCCTCAACCTCCTCACTACCCCCTCCAACCCTCCCTCACCCCTACCCCCTCAGCCTCCCTCACCCTACCTCCTCAACCTCCCTCACCCCTACCCCTCCACCTCCTTCACCCTACCTCCCCTCCAACCCCTCCTCCTCCTCAACAGAGCTATCAGGGGCAGATAGAATACTTAACATCACAATCAACAACGCGTCAAATACCAATTAAGAAATACCAGGTGATGTTGACAGGTGAGAATGGGGGGTCAAGGTCACTAATGTGTGTGTGTGTGTGTGTGTGTGTGTGTGTGTGTGTGTGTGTGTGTGTGTGTGTGTGTGTGTGGCAGAGAGAGATTTAACTCACTTTAAGACTTAATATTTTCTTTCCTATATATAAACTCTATCTCATACATACATACATACATTCATGCATACATACATACATACATAAACACACACACACTGCTTGCATGCATGTGCACACCCAGGGCCTAAAACATTTAACAAAAAATATTAATGGTATAAACGTATCACTTTCTCAAGACTCACACAAACTCTCCATTTTCACTTAAAAAAAGCTGAAACACGAAAACTTGTTTCCCGTCAGCAAAATCGCGACCGCCAGAATGCTTGATTACCACAATCAATCAACCAACCAACCGCAAAGTCGGCCGAACAACAACAACAACAACAACAACAACAGCAACAATAATAATAATAATAGCAAATAATAAATATGTATATTTATATATATATTTATGTATGTATGTATATATGCATGTATATATGTATGTATACCAATTTATGTATGTATGTAAAGAAAACAAAATAAGCCAAGCAGGAGAATTATTACAAAAATACGGTAGCTGACGCTTTCCTCTTGAGAGAATAAGTCAGTGGGTGAGTGAATGAGCCAGTGGGTGAGTGAATGATCAACGGGTAGGAATGAGTCAGTGGTGAGTGAATGAGTCAATGAATAAGTGAATAGCCAGTGGGTGATGAATGAGCCAGTGGGTGAGTAAATAGTCAAATGAATAAGTGAATGAGCCAATGGGTGAGTGAATAAGTCAGTGGAGTGAGTGAAAAGTCAGCCCGGGTGATGAATGAGTCAGTGGTTGAAGAATGAGTCAATGAATAAGTGAAATGAGTCAGTGAGGTGAGTGAATGAGCCAATGGGTGAGTAAATGAGCAACGAATAAGTGAATGAGTCAATGGGTGAGTGATGAGTCAGTGGGTGGTGAATGAGTCAATAAAATAAATGAATGAGCCAGTGGTGAGTGAATAGCCAGATGGGTGATGAATGAGTCAATGGGTGAGTGAATGAGTCAGTGGGTGAGGAATGAGTCAGTGGGTGAGGAATAAGCCAGTGGGAGAATGAGTCAGTGGGTGAGTGAATGAGTCAATGAATAAGTGAATGAGTCAGTGGGTGAGTGAATGAGCAAGTGCATCCTAAACCTCAGACACACACACACACACATAGAGCTAGGGGACGCAATAATACGAAACAAAGATAATACAATAATAAAATACAGAGAGAGAGAGAGACTGCCACATCTCAACACACAGAGGAGGAGGTTACTGCCCAGCAACAACTTAGTATGCACCGCACGAATTAATTTTGCCGCTGCAAATCAATGTCAGGAGGAGAGGGATCCACTGTGTGTCTGTTGTGTGTATACTTCTGCCATCGATATTGCAGATATAGTGAGTGTGTGTTTTACCACTTTCCTCTCAGTGTGTGTGTGTGTGTGCGTGTGTGTGTGTGTGTGTGCGTCTTTTTCATTCCACGTTTCAACACTTTTGTCTTGCACCAACACTCACTAACTCTCTCTCCCCCCCCCCCCCCTCTCTCTCTCTTATCACCTTTCTTTAAATCATTTACGTATCCCCATCCACGTCAAAGAAAGAACAGACAGACAGACAAACAGACAGACAGAGAGACAAGAGAACGAGATAAAAAGGATAAAGAAAAAACATAAATAAATCAGCCAAAACAAACAAGAAAAGGATAAAAGATAAAGAGATTAATGAACAAATATAGACATAACAAAATAAAAATAAATAACAAACATGAATGATAAATACAGAAGATAAACCAGATAATTGGTGGAAGTGATGTTTGTTTCTGTGTCTGTTTATGTATTTGTTTTATGTTATTTAAAAAGTGATAGAAAGAGGAAACTT